CACACCAATGGTCTGGAAACTCAATATGTTTACTGTTTATTATAAACCACTGACCAAGGAGGTGGGTTGGTTGCACACAGATGAATGAGAGAGCAAGTTTATTATATACAGCTGAATAAAGAGGAGTCCAGTTAGCTAGTCTCAGTAGGAGGTCTCTGTAGGTGGCAGTCATCTGGGGAGAAGAAGCTGTGATTGAGAGTTTCTACATGCCCTGGTTTTAGCTAAAGGCCAATCATTCCTCAACATCTGTACTTGGACCAGGAGAAGGCTTTTCCTGGACCAGGAGAAGCCTTTGCCATTCCATGGATCTGAGGCATTGGGATCTTTGACATGATGTGCTCATGTAGATAACTCACATTTACTCAGGACTCCTCTGTTCTTCACAATTGTGCATTATGTAGGTATATTCAAATGTTACATTATGGTATACAAATATGTAAATTGTTATGCATCAATTAAAAATAGAAATACTTGCCAGGTGGTGGTGGCACAATCCCAGCACTTGGGAGGCAGAGACAGGCAGATCTCTGTGGGTTCGAGGCTAGCCTGGTCTACAGAGTTCCAGGACAGCCAAGGCTATACTGAGAAACCCTACTAATGCCTAGTAGATAGGTACTAATCTACCTACTAATGCTTCAGCTATGTCTACAGTGTTTTGAATATATTGACACTCTCAATCCTCATAGCAATGGTGCTAGTCACTTTTGTGTCTCTGTGACCACAATACTGAACAGAAGCAACCTAAGGGTGTGTGTGTGAGATTATTGCAGCTCACAGTTGCAAAAGGCTCAGTTCATCATAGTGGCATGAGTGGGGTGGAGTGGGGGCACGGCATGGTGGAGGTGCTTGAATCATGGCCATGTGAGTATGAGGCTGAGGCTCTCATCACAGTAGACCGGGAAACAGAGAACAAGGTAAGAAGTGGGGGAAGTTAACATATCTCAAAGACCTGCCCCAGTAACCTACCTCCTTCAGATAGGCCCTCTGAAAGTTCCACAGCCTTCCAAAATACAAACAGTAACATCAGCTGAGGACTGGGTGAGTGTATAAAATATGAGCCTTGGAGGACGTCTCAGACTCAAATTAGAACAGCAACCTGATGAGACATGTGTGTTCAATATTCCTGTGCCACAGACCATGCAGCAGATATACATCTGAAGCACCCTTTGAAGGTCATACTGCAGAACAAATTTAGAGACTGGCTCCAGACCCCACTCCCTGAGTACCTAACAGAGCAGAAATAGGGGCCAAGTCTGGGTTGGTTCAGCCTTGTAGCTATTTCACACAAAAGGACATGATCTCATGAATCTAGTTATAAACCTGACTCCTGGATTTGCTCTCCACGCAGTCATCTGGGCCTACAGAAAGAGCTAACCACCTTAACCAAGCAAGGCAGGGACTGGCTCCTACTGTCAGAACACAGGTAGGTAAAACCAGAACGATTAATTGCCCTTTCCAATTGTCTTCAGTGTGTATGTAGACTATATATACCACAGATGCCCAGAGGAGTGTCAGTTATTTCCTGGTGGCCCAGGAGAAGACTAATGGCAGAGATAAGAAATTTGAGAGGTTCTGATTCAGAATTCCAAGAGACTCAGCTCTGTTTGGCAGTCCATCCATCCATCCATCCATCCATCTATCCCACAAATACTGATTAAGCTCCCAATACATGGACAATAGACACACACACAATCTTCTTGGTGTGTGACTCTGTACAGACATTCATTTCCAGTTTCTAAGAATTTCCTATCAGGTACCCCAGTTGGTTCCTGCTGCATGTTGTGAGTACCAGAGTTGATGATGTTATGCTGTCTATCTATCTATCTATCTATCTATCTATCTTCTAGATCTCTATCATCTATATCTCTCTATCATCTATATATCTATCTCTCTGTCATATCTATCTATCTATCTATCTATCATCTATATCTCTATCAACTGGCTATCTAACTTATTATTTATCCTTTTATTTTGGCTTACTATATACTTCACAATATCAGTCATTTAAAACCAAAGCCAGAGAAGTCCCCATCTTTGGGGATAGTTCCTTCACCTTCTTTTCCTGGCATCTAGCAGCCCATACTAGAGGGGCCCCCACTATACATGGGCTGTCTTTGTTCAATAACGCTTGGAAGCACAAGTGAGCTCTGTATTGCCACCCTTTCTGCAGGGTGGCTGGGGCGCCTGGAAGCTACTCTCGCAGCCTTGCACAGCCACAGGACCGCCCAAAGCACCAGCCATGAGCTTTGTTCCTCCAGCGTCTCGAGAAAAACCTTTGATTTCATGGGGATGATTATTTTTATTCTTGCCCACTCAAGGATGAAGCCCAAGGAACAAGAGGTTCCCCCTTTCAAAGGAATCACAATGGCTTACCTCCAGCCAAACCCAAGGGTTTTTGTTTTTTGTTATTTCTGGGTTTGGTTGGGCCTCTCTTGGAAACCATTACTATACAACTTACTTAAAGAAAGAGTGGAAGGATTGGGCCTAAGAAACTCAGACAGAGGGGGGTGGAGTTGGAGGGGTGGGTGTGGAGCACAGCAGCTGGGGGAGTATGTCATCAGAAAAAGTGAGATAAGAACATGTTAATGTCACCACGCAATCTGAATCGATTCCATTTTGTAGCAATGTTTTCATTCTATTGCAAAGATGAAATATTCCAAGATTGACTTTCGGAGAAGCCTAAAGAATTGGACTTTGCATGAGATTTCTAGAAAAAAAAAAAAGACAACACACACACACACACACACACACACACACACACACACACACACACACACACGGAAAGAAAGGGAGGGTGACTTTTATCCTAAAGTCATTGTAAATCCAAAGCAGGCTTTTATCCTCCAGAATTAAATAAGAAGGAGAGAAAAAAATCACGAATACCAACATTTGAGGTACAAAGACTGTCATGGACCAGTGGAAGTTTGCAAAATTATATGCAAATGACCCCCTCCTTTTTTTTTTTTTTTCTGTGGTGGCCCTGTGCACTCCCAAAGCTAATCCTAAAGAGAAAATCTACTTAGCAAAAGAAAGTTTTGTCTAATTTGGTTAACAGTTGAGAAGTGACAAAAATGTTGAATATATTAATAATTTATATTTCCAGGGTAACACTATATCTTTAATGCTTCACTGCCAAGGGGAATTCAGATTGATTTAATGCCGGAGGTAGGGGGGCGTTTGAAAGGCCTTCTTCATATTCTGTATCCAGTGCTGTTGAAAATGGGTGTAAGACATGTGTTGCGATAATGGGAACCATCCTGTCTCTCATTTCTGTATAATTTGTTTTTATCCCTTACTGCCTGCTGTGCTCTTGCTACCCAGGGAGGCCTACTGCTCCCTACGCGTCCACACTTCAGCTCCTACCAGTTCATTAGGAAGAAGATAGCAAATATTTCATAGAGGAATTATTTCAGGAATCTCCTCCATGCAAGATCCTTACTAAAATGTGCAGATTCCCTCACCGACACCCACCTAACTCCCATTGTATATGCATTGCAATGTAATGAAAGGTTTTGTTTGTTTGCTTGCCTCTGTGTAATGAACTTTAACGGTTTACAAATTGCCAGTCATCCCATCCCATGACCTTGGTAAATGGAGTAGGTCAGGCCTCTGGCAGGTCCCCCCATAAACCCTGTCTGAAAAAGGGAATAAGTCAATTTGCCGTTCTCCAGATAATCAGGAAGAGAAGTCACCTTGCCCTCCGTCAGCCAAATGACTCTTAGAAACAGAGGAAAACGGTGCTATGCAATATTAAATTATTTGTTTAAAGGGCACCAATGTTAACAGGATCAGTATTCAGAGGGGAAAAAAAGTCAATGATGGAAAAACAATCAATCTCCAGTATTTTGCCTGGCAGATGCTTTATTTTGCCTGTTGGACGTCGGTTTCGCTGTCTGGAGCTGAGAGAAATGGGAGTCTGGTCTGCTATTTTACATGTGCCACTATTTGGTGAACAAAGCCCACATACTCTGGAAGTGAAAACCACACGATTCCTCGAACAATCACAGGCTTTTGCAAAACCACAAATGCCTGGAAAATGACCGGTCAAGTCCTCCCTAGACACATTTCTCACCACATTCTGCACGACGGGAAACTAAAACAGAATTTCAGCCTAGAGAAAGGCTGAACCTTTCTCCCCAGACCTGAGAGCTCCAACAGAGGACCCAGCTTTTGGGTCCAGTGCCAGAGTCAGCAGGGAGCCCCTGGGGGTCACATTTTCTGACCAGATACGTGCTGGCTTCTGCCAGGCTCCCCTAGGGCTCTCCTCCTCACACCCACACCACAGCCGGGTTGATTTGTGAGTAAAAGGCATTGCCTACTTCCCGGAATCCTCTGATGGCCGGTGATTGTCATCCGAAGAAAGAAAACAAACTATAAATGTTGTTGCTAAGACATAATTTAGAAAGCTATTTGCTCCACTCACTGATTTTGTAACACAGAGACTTACTGAGGCTGTGAACTCAGCCACTCAGTAGGCGGCCTGGGGTTTGTGGTTTCCTAGACTTGTGCTCGCCTAGAGGTGAGAAGGGCCTCCAGGTTCCAATTAAGCAAAACTAGTTTGGGGGTTGTCTTTTGATTTGCATATTCTGAGAACCCAAGGTCAGGTTCCAGAGGCTTCAGCATTTCTCAGAGGCAAAAGGCTGGGCGACAAGAGAGGAGCTTAAGCACCCCTAAAGGACACCTCTAACGTCTGCTTAAGCTTCCATTTAGCCTCCCCCTGCCTCAGACTCTGGGAAGATCTGGGTTCCTACCAGCCGCGTGTTTCCTTATAAGACACTTGGAGTGGATGGTTTGTGGATGAGCGGAAGGTAACAAAGAACTCCATTTTGGGGTCTTTAGCACAAAGAATTTATTGGTAGGGGAGGTCCTTAGGAAGGCTAATTGGCTCTTGGCATTCTCCCATCCTGTTTCTTTTGGCACACTATTTACAAATGTACAACATATACAGTGTTTGTCTCAAGCCGCCACAAAACCTCAAAGTGATCTAGGCAGTGCGTGGGTCAGAGCACTGGAGGGTGCTGGGGCGTGTGCAGGTTGAGGGTGTTGGAATGGGCATGGCCGATCAGATTGAGGTAATGCCGGTCCAGGCCCTGCATCTGAGCCAAGAAGGGGCTGTGCTGTTGCGCAGGGCTGGGGAGAGGTACCGGCGCGCTAGATAAGTAAGACAGTGCTGGGCTGCGGGCCGCGCCGTGGGGCCAAGGCAGTGACCCTGGGGTAGCCCCCTGCGGGAACACAGTGGCCTCGCCCGGGCTGTGGCCCGCAAACTCTGGACCGGCGGGATGCAGCTGATAGGAGAAATCCGACTCCGGGAGCGAGAGCGGCGGGAAGGCGGGCTCCGCGCCCAGGCGGGCCTTAGATTGCAAGAAGGCGAGGATGCGCGCATACTTGGTGTCTTTGGTCTCCATCCTCTCCACGGTGGTGAGGTAATGCACCAGGTTCTTCATGCACTCGTGGTAACCATAGTGGAAGTAGTTGGCAAACTCTGCTAAAAGCTCTGCTGGGTTGGCAAGAAAGATGATAGGAAGAAGAAAAGGAAGCGAGAACAGGCGCATCCCTTCCCAGAAGGGTGGGGACATCTCTGTGCGGTTTGGGTTAGATTCCCATTTGAGGCTGGCACTCTCCTCTCCTGAGTCTAGGAACTGGAAAAGCGCGAACACTAGGAGCCTGACTACATTCCTGTCCCCACCAAACCCCACCCAAGAAGAGCAATAGACCTGAATCTTCAGGTGCTTTCTCAGGGCTGCTCCCGGACTCTCCTTCAGTCCCAGGCCCCAGGTCCCCGAGTGGCGCAAACTCCCTGCCCAGGTTTCCTTTGCCCGGGTCAATGCCCACCTTTTTCCCTTCCCCGAGGAAAATCCGCAGAGTGCAGAGCTCTGAGGTACTGAACTGTCATCTCCAGGATCTCAGCCTTCTCCAGTTTCCCGGAACTCTGCAAAAGGAAGAAGGAAGCTAGCGGTGGCCCACCCATGGCAAACCCACGCAGCTGCAGGGTCGTACTCCTTTTTCTGCAGAATTCCACCCAGAAAGATGCCGGCGCCAGAGAGGGAGGAATTCCCTAAGGCCAGCTGCCTCCGCAGAAGCTGGGGGCACCACGAAGAACCGCAGTGGAGAGCTTCAGCACCACAAACGTTACCTGTTTCGCTAGGGCCATGGGGACTGTCTTGCCCAGCTCGTTCAAGCAGCGGTTGATTCGGTCCCTCCGCCGCTTCTCTATCACTTTATGAGAAACTGGGGTTCTCTGTAAACAGAAATTTTTACACTTAGGATGACTTTGCCCAAAGAGTCATTCCAAGGTTGTGTGCCACAAAAGTTCGCCAATTAGCCAACCCTAAGAGACACCAGATCTGCCCCGCCTCCACACTAGACCAAGAGAGCTCTGTCCCCCAGAGCCCGTGCTGGCGCGCTGGCCTTTCAGCCCCCCTACACATCCCTGCCATTCAACCGAGCTAAGTGCCAGGACTTTGAGGAGGTGGCCACCAGCCTTCTAGGGTGAGCATCGCCTCAGCTGAGGACTTTCCTTTCTCTGTTCCTTTCCAAACCATTTTGGATTCCTCCACACTTAATGTTCTGCGTGGCACATCTTTGTCATCGATTCAGCCAGGTGGCCGGTTGGTGAGTCACACTCTTCCACCACCAGAGCGCAAGGACTCACTTTGCGTTCCTTGAGCCTGTCTGACATCCTGGTCTGCGTGCGCCCTCGGCAGGGGCGGTGGCGCGCGACACCCGTCCACGTTTCACCTCGTGTGCCTCTTTGAGTGTCCCAGGTAGACTGCAGCCTCCCGGGTCCGAGGGGGCTGCTTTTATAAAGCAGTCTTCCAGGACTCCAAGTGCATTCTCACGACTTGAATTATTCCATAGGATTAGGGACTCTGCGTTTGGCTCATGTATGCATTCAAGGTCAGTTTTAAAGAAGTTAAGAAAAAAAATTTAGCAGCCGAGGGGGGCGAGCTGGGGGCAGATCAGCTTTGTTAATCCACGTGGCTCTTCAAAGGACACGTGATCCGTCGGGGAATAACATTTGCATGGGAACAGGCACCTCGGGAAAAGGAGGCGAGACACTGGAGCCTGCGGAGCAGCGAGCGCCTGCAGCCGGAGCAGGCGCGGAGCGCAAGGACGCAGTGGCCGCAGGCACCGGGGGGCAAGGACCCTTACAAAACAGTGTCGCTTCCTTTAGTCCCACCGCTGAGTCTCACACGATCGCCTGTTTACAAATCCCAGCAAGCCCGCGGTCCCAGCGCCGAGTGCGTTTTAAAGCCTGTCCAGAGTCATTAAAGTAATTAAGTAAGCCTTTAATAGGCTGTTCCGCCGGGTTCAAGGGAGAGCTCCTGGAGACGGAGGCGCCCCGTTTGTTCCCAGGCTTTTCTCACACGACTTGGTGACACGTCCATCTCCCCCCTTTTTGTTTACACCGCTTTATTTGTCCGGACATCCCGGCAGGTGTGGGGCTGCGGCTGGCACCCCGCCTCTCTTCTCCCCTCCCGCGGGCCTTTGGCACGCGACTCTCCCCCGCTAGTCCCTGACCAAGTCGTCTGCTTCTTTCTTTTCTCCCCCCTTCCCCGGCTCTCTTTTCGAGGGGGAGGGGAGAGAGGCTCAATTTGTAGCCTATTATCCTATAGGAAAATGTCCATTGAAAAGTATGAATAGTTTCATTGGGCTAAATTTTAATAATGCCAGGGATGGGGTGGAGGAGAGACAGGCGTGTGTGTGTGTGTGTGTGTGTGTGTGTGTGTGTGTGTGTGTAGTCCTGGCTGTCTTGACACGGAGAAGAGTGGGTAGAGAAGAAAAGGGAGAATGCAGCTGGCCCAGGCGAGCTTTATGCGACGTCACCTGCATGAGGGGGCGCCTACAGACCCCTATTCATTTGCCTAATTTTGGTCAATTTAACAAACTTCAGGAGAAATTATTGTGGCTTTGTCAGGGAGGGTGAAGCCTTCTGATCGAATTAACAGCATGTTTTGATCCGGTAAATGTCATTAGAAAGGGAGAAACAATCGCGCTTAGAGGGCTGTGGGTAATGCGCCCAAGTGGAGACGCCAAAGCGCACGGCTCACAAAGGGAGCAAGTAGCTGCCACAGGGAACTTTTGTACCCGCCCATCGCCCAAGTTTTGACACAAAAAGGCATTATTTCATACTTGAATACGTTTAATCCAACGATTGTCTATTTTTTGCAAACATATTTTCACAGCATTGTTAACTTTTTATGTCCCCCTCTCGCGGGCGCCTTTCTTAACGTTTGGGGGCGGGAGAGCGCAGACACTTTGGGCATCAATATTTGTCACTGAAAAGGGCCCCGTGAAGTTAGGGAAGTTGATCTCTTTTTTATGGTTTTAGAAAGCGAAAATGTCGGGGAGGAGGAGGGAGGGTAGACAGGGAAGGAAACCCAGAGGGAAATTTGCTGGACGGGCCCAAAGGGAAGGAGGGGGTGGTGGCTCCTGGGAGCTCTCTCCACTGCGCCTCAGCCTGGAGCCTCAGCCCCAGGCCTCCACCCACCAACCTCCGGTTGCTGCCTCCCGGAGTGTGTTGTGGGGGTCGGGGTTGAGGTGAATTTTCTTGCAGATAAAACAGTAAAATAATCTTGAAGACAACAAAAGTGATCTTGGTTTTAGGAATTATTCCGGAGATTAGCCTCTGCCTAATCTCTCTCATCTGGAAACAAGAAAAACCTTCCTTCAAGTGTCTGTCTGGTCCTATTGGCCCACACCACGTATTAAATTCTCTCTACCGTGCTAGACAACAGCAGGTTTGAGGTTTATCTTTTTGCAAGGTGGTGCCCGTTCTTGCCAGAGGTGGGTAGGGTGGATCCCTGTTCACTGGCCCCACCTGGGAAGCTCCAGGGCGCAGAGCCTGAGTGGGGCATGGGGGTTCTGAGAAACAGCCTCCAACCCTCTGATGCCTGGCGGGTGTAAGAATCCGTCTGCCCTGAGCATACTAGGGTGCCTCCGTTTTTCTGCCCCCCTTTTTTTCTTTGTCGATTTACTTAATGCCACATTGGATAGGACCCACACCTTCTTGCAGGTTGCTTTGCCAGCCGCGTGCTCTGTTGAGGGGTTGTCGGTTTCAGTATATTCACTGGCACACAAAGGGATTAAACAGGAACCCTTATCGTCCAAATCAGCTAACTTGAATGGGTAAAAGGGAGCGCGCACTTCTCGCCCCCCCTCCTTTTTTTTCTGCCAGCGGACTGGACTTGATCCTCTTACTGCTGGTGTTAACTCCAGCTGCAGGCACGTTCCTCAAGCCAAACTTCATTCCATGCAAACTGTTTAATTTCTCTGGCTTTATGTAGACCAGGGACTGTTTGCCTAGAACTAAAACTTCCTTCTTGGGGTGGTTGAGCTGGAGGTGGCGTGGGGTGGATGGATACAGAACCAGAGCCCTGTCCTTCGTGGTTGCAGCACTACCTTAGCGAGAGACCCGTATTTCTCTTCGCATCAGGATTCGGGAATAGATACTTCCATTTTGGCTCATCTTTGCATCATGTCTGGATCACATTCCCAGTAAGGGGCTACCTTACTACGTATTGTTTTTACTCTGTCTTTGGCGTGCTGATCACGGCTCCCTGGGTCTTGAGGTGGTTTCCACTTAAAATGAGAGCCAGTGGTGACAAGCAGCGTCTCTACAGCCAAATAGCCTGTTCAAACACCAGCAGCACCCCTGCCCACAGAGCCAGACACCAGGGGAGGTTGAATCTCAGCTGTCCTCAGTTTTCCTCTTCTGTAAAATGGAGATAACATTTTGTCCATTATGCTGCAGTCCATTAGGTTGGTCACTGGGGTAAAATGAGGGAACAGAGACAAGGCACTCAAGGAGGACTAATTACTCCATTTATTTTTTATTATGCCCATAGATTCTTCTGTGGTGGCTTTTCTGCTTTAGCATAGCAGAACTTCGGGGTGTTCACTGTTAAGAACTTTCACTCACTCCTCCTCCTCCTTTCCCTCCTCCCTTTTTAAGAGCACCACTCTCCCTGAAATAGTCAGACTTCTGAAACCTGCTAAATTTAACCCATTAGGCAAATGAATGTATGTGTGGGTCTTTGGCCTCCCCTCTCACAGGCCGCATCGCCTAGTGCTCTCTGGCCAGCTCCTCCAGGGTGCATGTGAGACTCCGGGAGGGGAGGAGTTCCAAGACTAGAAACCTGTCAACTTCATCATTCAGAAATGAGGAAGGTATCTAGCCAAGTAGGGTGGACATCTGCAGACAGCAGAGGTTGTTGGTCAAAGGATACATGTTTACTGTTAAGAGAGGAGGTAGAAGAGTTCAAGAGGCCTGTTAAGTGTGGTGATTGTGTGGAGTACTACTCAGCAGGAAAAAAAAAACAACAATGGAATCTTAAAATTCGAAGGCAAATGGATGGAACTAGAAGAAACTATCCTGAGTGAGGTACCCCAGCCACAAAAAGACAAACATGAACCTTCATCCAGTAGCTGATGGAAGCAGAAGCAGACATCCACAGCTAAACACTGAGCTGAATTCCTGGAATCCAGTTGCAGAGGGAAGAGTGATGAGCAAAGCAGTCAAGACCAGGCTGGAGAAACTCACAGAAACAGCTGACCTGAACAAGGGGAGCTCATGGACTCCAGACTGATAGCTGGAAACCAGCATAGGACTGACTGTTCCAGACCACCTGAATGTGGGTGTCAGTATGGAGACCTGGGCCATCTATGGGGTCTCTGGCAGTGGATCAGTATTTATCCCTAGTATATGAATGGACTTTGGGAGCCCATTCCACATAGAGGGATGCTCTGTCCGCTTAGACACATGGGGGTGGGGCGGGGGGCTAAGCCCTTCTCCAAATGATAGACTTTGAAGATTTCCCCCATGGAAGGCCTCACCCTCCCTGGGGAGCAGAAAGGGGATGGGAAAGGTGGTTGGTGGGGGACAGGGGAGGAGGGTAGGGAGAGGGAACTGAGATTGATGTATGAAACAAGACTGTTTAATTTAATATAAAATAAAAAAGTGTGGTGATTGTGGTTCATGTTGATGTACTTTTGAAAAATACTAGGGAATTGGATCTCAACCTGTGGGTCATGACCTCATCAAAGTCAAATGAGCCTTTCAGAGGGCTCCCCTGAGACCACCAGAAAACACAGATATTTGCATTACAAATTTTTATTAGTTCAAATTAGAAACAAGCCTGCTTCACATTGTCAATCCCTTCTCCCTCTCCCTCTCCCTCCCCTCCACTCTCACCCCCCCAGGCAGCCTCCCACCCTATCTACCCTCTGCTCCCCAGGGAGGGTAGGGCGCTCCATGGGGGATCCCCAAAGTCTGTCATATCATCCTGGACAGGGCCTAGGCCTTCCCCCATGTGTCCAGGCTGAGAGAGCATCCCAGGCTGAGAGCCGCGTGGAATGGGCTCCAAAAGTCCTTTCTTACGCCAGGGATAAATACCAATCTACTACCAGAGGTCCCATAGAGTGCCTAGGCCTCCTCATTGTTGTATGAATGTGCATTCTTTGGGTATATGCCCAAGAGAGGAATTGCTGCATCTTGAGGTAGAATGATTCTTCCTGAGAAACCACCATACTGATTTCCAAAGTGGTCTTACAAGTTTGCACTCCCACCAGCAATGGAGGAGTGTTCCTCTCCAGCATACACTGTCATTGGTGTTTTTTATTTTAGCCATTCTGGCTGCTGTAAGATTTTATCTCAGAGTTGTTTTGAGTTGGATTTCC